GATAACAATAAGCATTCACAAGAGTATAACTATAATACTGTCCATCATTGTGTAAAAGTTGGCCGTATGATCATCATTTATTCCAGCTGTGTACACTAAGGAATACTTATTAATTAGTTTCTGCTGAGAGGACAAAGAAGGCATAAAGAGACAATATATTTAGAGAATTTGCAAAACCATCTGTGATTCTAAGACATCTAGTTCCTGTTTTGGGAAGAAAGCCCATTTCCAGATCCAACACTGAGATGCTTTTGTAAACGAAGGCTCACACTGCTGTTACAGCGGTATGCTGTTCTCACCCATGTCAGTGTTGTGTTAGACAAGGAGAAACACACACCAATAGGTAGATTTTGGCCAGATTCTCCAACCCAGACATATCCCAAGTTGGAAGCAGCTCCAGAAGGAGGTTGTACACCCTCCAGGAGACCAAACATGACACAGGTTACTGCTGAAGTCTAAGAAAACATTTCTGGCTTGGATACTAGGTATTTTGGAGAGTCTTCAGGCACATCGTGGCTATGCATTGCACCACTCTTGAGAGTTTAGATCTCCTGATTTCAGCCTAAACTGGAGTGGAGAAAAAAGGCACTCAAAACATGAACCCTGGTGGTACAGGCTAAGAACAAAGCTCAAGTGCTCATCCTTCATTTTCTATAGCCAGACAGTGAATAGTTGACAGTAGATAATTTTTTCCACATAACAATAATCTTTCTAGAGGAATGGACTGGAATATGTGACATTGGGTATATTAAATAAGCCTTTGGATAGGAGCTCTTATGAAACTTCTGCAGCTACTCACATCACCATTTCTCTGCAGTGAATGCCTGTGGGACTTTCTGTCATTTGGCACACTGGCAAAGAGCTGCTCACAAAGCAGCACAACATGAGCCAACAGAAGACCTGATCAGATGGGCACTGAGCAGTAACAGACTGTGCAGTCAACTAAGAGCTGGTATCATGGTCACCAAGCTAGACCATGGCAACAAGAACATGCTAATGCGTAGATCCCTCAAAGGGGGTGAGGATGTTGCTGGGCAGAGAGAAGTAGCCTGCCTAATCCAAGTGAAACATGCCAGAGTTTAGACACACAAGAACTTTCTGCAGATTGCCACTCTCGTGGTGAGCCAGTGCTCCACAATGTTGTTCCGAGCATCAGATGAAGCTGAGATGAAATGAGATTTAATTTATGCCTGTATTTTGCCATGTTCAACTCTTTAATCCCATTAAAATACAGAAAGTTACAGACTCAAACAGAAATAAAAAAAATTATAATTAATACTTTCAAATCAAAACCCAGCTAACAGTTTAGCACTGTCACATTACTAGTGTTCTTGAGTTCACGACAAAATTGACCAAAGAGTGGTTTTCATGATGACAATTATGTTCTGACAACTTTTATAGTTACTGGGCAATTTGAAGAAGATGGCATATAGCACAGAAGATTAGAAAAAATTAGGTTAAAAGGTGGCACAACTGCATGCTCAATGGTGAGCCAGCTTCAAAGTTGGATCAAATGCAGCTGCAGAACTGCTGTACCATACATTTCTTAAATGCCTGGATGAGCTGAGGAAGAACTGCTACCTGCTCCTGGACCAGGATGGGATCCTGATTCTCTTTTCTCTCATATTCAGCAACAACATGGGCTCCTAACAAACCAAGAAAGGAGCTTCTCAATTGCTGAAATTAGGAGTCCAACTTGTTTATGCCCACAGCTGAGGAATACCGATTTCATCAGAGGTTTTTATTCTATGTACTGAGAACCTCTGAGAGACTCTAGGCACCATCAGTAATCATGATTCATAACATTTTGGCTCTGCTGTGAGACACAGAAGGGCTACAAAAAATCCAGTGCTGAAACCAAAGTAGCATCAGCACCAGGACAAAGTACCTGGATAGTCCTAAAGGAATCACTTCACTCTGTCCAGAGCTACCTGCAGTGTTTAAACTTTCTTGAGATTTCGAGTCACTCCTCGTTAGTACAAGTCTGCACTGCAAGGTTAACAAAGCCATTGAAAGGGAGTCTTAGGTGTGTTTTCTCCTATAGGACTGGCTGCTGGATCACAGGGTAGAACATTCACTCGTTGCTGTGAGCAAATAAATTATGACTCAGCCAGAAGTGCTAGAAAGGCCTGGGAGTAATACAGTCAGATAAGCGCTCTACTCAGGAACAGTGTGTGCCATATACAGTGGAGATGTGCTTAGGAGAGCTTGGAAATAGAGTATGGATGCTCTTAGAAGTGACCTAACACAGCACTGTAGGCATCTCATGTGATCCTAGGACTAGTTTATCTTAGCCACATCCTTCGACTCTCCTGTTCATGTTGTGGGAAGGTGAACTTAAAACATTTTTTCCTCAGTCCTTATTTTTTTAGGAATACAAATAATAAATCAACCCTTTTTCCTAACATGATGATGTTTCAATCCTTTATCACAAAGGCATTTTATCAAGCAATATTGATGCTTGTTAATCTGTAACAACATGTGTGTTGTTACAAATCCAACAACAACATTATTTAACTTTGCTTGCAGACAGATCTGATCACTGTTAAACAACTATCTTCCAAAAACAATACAGGCATTATTTAACCTCTCTGGGAGGAGAGGGCACAGTAAATTTCTTCTCAAGTCACTTCTAATCCCTTAGCTATTTACTACATAAATCAAACAAATTTTCAATATGTACATGAGTGTATCAAATCTGCTGTGCAGTTCTGCTTTATCTATTTTGTCTGATTTTACAGAAAATTAAACATTCTGGAAAAAGAAAAAAAACAACCCGCAAAACCAGACAGTCACTTTTTTTCACTTTACTAACAGCAGGCTTTTAATTAAATTTTAAAATTAGTTTTTATCACTTCAAATTGATGGCATGGTTACAAATGATCTGAAGAACCACCCAGCAGCTCTAGCAAGTTGCCCAGAAGTAGATGCTAAAACACAGTAATTTATTATAGATGAAAGAGGCTTAAACGTCCCCAATATCATTCTGTAGAATAATTCCTGTGTACCTCAAATTGGAATTATGAAAATACAGAGTATGTTTGAGCATTATTATTATTATTATCATTAGCAAATTTGCAGACAACACCAAGTTGGGAGGGAGTGACAACCTGCTGGAGGGCTCTGCAGAGGTGACCTGGATAGGCTGGAGAGTTGGGCTGATTCCAAGGGGATGAAGTTCAACAAGGCCAAGTGCCAGGTCCTGCACTTTGGCCACAACAACCCCCTGCAGCATTACAGGCTGGGCACCTGGGGGTGCCAATTGACAGGAAGCTGAACATGAGCCAGCAGTGTGCCCACTTGGCCAAGAAGGCCAATGGCATCCTGGCCTGCATCAAGAACAGTGTGGCCAGCAGGAGCAGGGAAGTGATCCTTCCCCTGTACTCTGCGTTGGTGAGGCCACACCTTGAGTATTGTGTTCAGCTCTGGGCCCCTCAGTTCAGGAAGGATATTGAGGTGCTGGAGCGGGTCCAGAGAAGAGCAACCAGGCTGGTGAAACGACTTGAGCACAAGTCCTATGAGGAGAGGCTGAGGGAGCTGGGGTTGTTTAGTCTGGAGAAGAGGAGGCTCAGGGGTGATCTCATCACCCTCTACAACTCCCTGAAAGGAAGTTGTAGCCAGGTGGGGGCCGATCTCTTCTCCCAGGCAATCAGCAATAGGACAAGAGGGCACGGGCTTAAGCTCTGTCAGAGGAGGTTTAAGTTGGATATTAGAAAGAACTTCTTTACAGGGAGAGCGATCAGGCATTGGAATGGCCTGCCCAGAGAGGTGGTAGTTTCACCATCCCTGGAGGTTTTTAAGATGAGGCTGGATGTGGCACTGAGTGCCCTGATCTAGTAATCACAGTGAGGTTGGACCAAGGGTTGGACTGGATGATCTCGAAGGTCTCTTCCAACCCAGTTAATTCTATGATTCTATGATTAAGACTGAGTAAACTTTACAATCACCGAGCTTTTACTAAGTAAAGCTGCCCCAGCCACGTGTCCACCATACCTTTCCCAGGTTATCCCTCTCTGCCCCTGAATTGCTACCACACCACTCACAAGGACACTTTTCCTGCAGAAAGGGACCTGGGGGTCCTGGTCAATGGCAAGCTGAATATGAGTCAGCAGTGCCCGGGCAGCCAGGAGGGCCAACTGTGTTCTGGGGGAGCATCAGGCAAATCATTGCCAGGCAGTCGAGGAAGGGAATTGTCCCGCTCTGCTCTGCACTGGTGTGGCCTCACTTAAGAGTCCTGCATGTAGTCTTGGATGCTACAACATAGGAAAGACACTAAGCTTTTCAAGATCATCTAAAGGAGGGACAAGAAGATGGTAAAGGGCCTTGAGGGGAAGCCCTATGAAGAGCAGCTTAGGTCACTTGGTCTGTTCAGCCTGGAGGAGACTGAGGGGAAACCTTACTGTAGTCTACAACCTCCTTGTGAGGGGAAATGAAGGGACTTCTCTCAGGTGACTAGTGAGAGGACCCAAAGCAATGGAATGAAGCTGTGTCACAGGAGTTTTAGGTTGGATTTTATGGTAAGGTTCTTCAACCAGAGGGTGATCAGGCACTGGAAAAGGCTCCCCAGGGAAAGGGTATCGCACTAAGCCTGAGAGAGTTGAGTAAGCATCTGGACAATGTTCTCAGACATATGGTGTGATTTTGGGGGTTGTCCTGCGCAGGGCCAGGAACTTGATGATCCCGGTGGGTCCCTTCCAACTCAGGATACTCTGAATCTTCTCTCTCTCAAGAGAAAAAAATTTCCGCAACGTGCTGCTGGCCGGGAGTCACGCACCAAAAAACCTTCAAATATCTTTGACAGCACACGGAAACCTATCCTGACCAACTATTTTTTTAGCACTGAACCTTCCGGACTCCCCCCCCGCCCCCCACAACACCGCCGGCAGTCTCTCCCCACCCACCGCCCTGCCCGCCCGGTCTCCATGGCGCCGCTGCCGCCCTTTCCGGAGCGGCTGGGAAGCGGCGGGGCGGGATCGGATGGGCGGATGGTGGGGCGGGCGGCGGAGCTGCTGTCCCTGGGGCTCCGCGGGACAGGCCAGCAGGTATCGGCGCTCGGCAGGCCGCCGGGCTGCCCCGGGCACGGCGCTCCCCGACCGCGCCGGGGAGGGGGCGGTGGGAGGGGGCGGGACGGGGGCCCGTCCTGCGCCCTCGGCTTGGGCCGGGCCGGTCCTTCCTGGCCGGCTGCTGCCCTCGGTCGCTCTCTACCCCGGCAGGTGCTTGTCAGTGTGAAACTAACATCGCAAAACAGTGCTGGAAGACACCGCTAATGGAGGTGCTGGCCTGGAATAACACCTGCTCGAAAGCGAAACAAAAGAACTGGTGGGGTGTGCTAAGTTGTCACTAAATCTTTTAGCCTTCAGTGCATCTGAGGATGCGATATTTGGGATGCCTCGGCAGACTGCTGCATTAGAGAAGAGTGCTTGGCTATGTAAGCTCACTTACATGCTTACTACTTTACTATGTAATATAACATGTAAAATGATAATGAAGAGTAGTAGTCATTAGAATGAGAACCTCTGCACTAGCAGTGAATGGAACTCTTGTTTCTGCTTTTGGAGAAAAGGATACTATGCAAATGAGATTTAAGTACAATCAGCTACCAAAAATGTTGTATTTAAATAAAATACCCATTTAATTTCTTAATGATATTTCTTGATTTTTTTTCCAGTACCCCGAGTCTGACCATAAAATATGATTCTTTGCCTGCTGCACCACACTCCCTAAGTACTTCTTTTGCCATTTGGTCACTTGGCTTCAACTACAATGTTAGGTTATGATTCGGATAATATATTTTCAGATTCTTTTGCTCTAGCCTGCTAGCTGTCTGGCTGATGAGGAGAATACCATCAGTGTTTCACATTTTCTTAAAAAAAATAAATATTGCATATCATTTCTGAGCTCTGACATTCCTTTTTTCAGGGATGTGTTCCTTCATAGCCTATGAATGCTTCTAAACACTCAGTCATTGGCCAGTGTACCATAGGAATTGTTTTATGAAGCTAGTGGTGGGTTTTCAGTCACAGCTGATGGTAAACAGTTGGGTGCATATAAACCCTGCTTCCATGTAGTATTCTGTTCACTGGTGCTAATATTGTTTTGGATTGTTACCTAATGTTAAGCAGTCAGTGAATTGAATATCTGAAATCATGCAGTTTCATCCACTAGACTTAATAAGGAAGCGTGAGTGTTAGACATTTTCATAAAAACACCTAGACACTTAAAATTTACATGTTCCATAGTGGTAGATTCTAACAAGCAATAGCAATTTAAGTAGGTGTTTTTTTTCATGAACAGGTAAGAACTTTGTGTTAGGTACATTGTAGATGAATGGTGAAAATGCTGAGTAGTTTTGTTTTATATTTCTTTGTTGTTACTTTGTTGTTGTGTTAAGTTTTTCTTCCCTGAATTCTATTATAATGAAATATGAAATATTCACTATCTATGAAATAACTGGTGCTACCTTGGAGTGGACGTGGCTCACATGCCTTCTGTTCGTCGATGTTCAAGTAAAGGTATTTGCTTTCACAAACAGCTGATAGGGATGGTTTAAACTGAGGAAATAACACAAATATCTTTGTGGGAAGAGGTATCTATTACAAATGTTTCTAAGCTTTACTAAATATTAGAGCTTGTTACAATACATTTCTAGGGGCTTTATCCACCTGCCCCTGAAATTAATGCATTGCTTCTCTGGACTTTCCTGGAGCTGAATGAAGTCCCGAGCATTTCTCCTACAAGACTTTGGTTCTTAATATTGTCCTCTATCTCCTGCCTGCCCCGAATCAGTTTCATTGTTTGGTGCATTTAGCAGCTGCATATTATTCCTGGACAAAGGAGGCAACAGAGCTAAAGTGAGTGCCAGAGGAGGAAGGTTAGGAGCCAAGGAAGACTTTCTCTCTTTTTTTGTTTATTCTGGTTTGAAATACTTGTTAAATTTTAGTCCAAGGACTCATTATTCTTTTTGCTCTTCTTGAAATACAGGAATATCAGCTGCAGGTATACTGAAGTGAAAGACTTTCCAGAGGAGCTAAATTTATTAAAGGAAATGATATTGAGTATACTATGCAATGAGATAGAGAGCAGCTTTTCCAGATTTTGCTGTGTTTTGGTAGAGATGGCCAGACTTCTTAGCCTGCCTTGGAGAAAATCTGGAGTGGACACTGGTTTTGTTTCTTAGGCACCATTTCTTATGTCATAAGAAACTCTTCTCAAATTGTATTGTGTGCTGAAGTAACGTTCTGAGCACAAGGTCTTCGTTTCAATTTTATGTATTTATAGTTGGGCACCAGTATCTAGATAAACTGTTTTCTTCCTGGACAACTGTTCAGGTACACTTTGGCCTGGCCTTTCTGTTGAATTAGTGACCAGCTTAACAAAGGAGAGTAGGTTTCCTAATTGTCATCGCTAACTGTTTTGGTTAATATTTGTCACTGCTTTTATTATATGTAATTTCTATTCCTATTTTTAATTCCAATTGTCTTTCATTGTTCTAAGGCTACATAATTTAGCCAAACCTTGTGATACAGTTACACGAGGTCTCAGCTGTTAAGTTTAATAGGTGCCAAAGAATGTTTGAACCTGTCTTCTAATTAGAAGTCCATATCAGTCATAGAGATTTTGTGGTGTTTTTATGTATGAGGATGTTTAAACAAGTAAAGTAACGTCTAAAAACCCTGTTGCAATTCTTGCAGCAACAAGCTTTGGAAGTGGCATTGGATCGTGCTGAGGTAAGAAGCAGCTAAATTACTTGCTTGTACATAATATATTGGTCTCACAGTTATAAAAAATACAACAGTTATTTTTTTATCTCTTCTGAAAAGCAGTGTAAAAGCATGTTATGTAATTATGTGTATGTGTATAAATAATCACCCATACACGTAACACTGAGTTTACAAAATTCTCACTCAAATTGCTGTCATATATTTGTCTCTTACCCATTGTACTGCAAATATCAGCAAGTGCAATGGTTATAGACTATGCAGGACTTCAGTTTTCCCCTTTTAAACCAGTGTATCTGTGTGCTGTGAAATAGGCAGAGCTCAACAGAGACAGTTGGCAGAAATATATAGTAAAATCCTCTTTAAGGATGGCCCAGTTAGAACAAGAGGCAAGTGCCGTCACATTCGTGTTCTTTCATGCTGATGTGATACAACGGTTACCTTGAACCCTGTTATGGGAAATATATGTTTCTGTGGGAGAACCTCTCTTCACTGACATTCTGAACTAAACTGTTAATCAAAATACTTCAGACAAACTAAATAGAGATTAGAAAAAACCTTATTAGAATATAAATCATATTTAATGTAGGATGATATATCTCATATTCTTTTTTAATTTGACTATTTAATGTACATGAATTGATTTTAAAATGCACATCTCTATAGAGAAAACAAATGTAAATGCAAAAGGCAAGGGGAAAACTAAATTTCCTGATATTAGTTTTGTTGAGGAGTACTTGATTGTAGATGTTGTCAAGCCAGCATGCATAAATTTGGTCGTATATTAGCATGTTCACCACATTATTGTCAGTGTGTTAACTATGTGAACTTTAGTAATGTTAGCTAAGTACAATAGTGTTAATTACTACTGTAATTAAAAAACACAAATGCAAAATCAAGCCTTTGTGTGCAGCGAGAGCCATGGCCATGAAATGCTGCTTTTGACAACTAAACTGAGCTGTGTTCTTGTTGATGACTATAACACAGACCAAATCGTGTTCAGTACTCTTTTGGAACAATCATGTATCATAGCTGTTATTATTTTCTGTATTCATGGAACACTGTCCGGTAATGATGTAAAGTTGTGTGGTAAATAGAATTAAATTTCTTTATAATGTATGTTATTTTTTTTGTCTTACTTTTCTCTTGTAGTATATCATTGAAAGTGCCCATCAGAGACCTCCCAAAAGAAAATATTTATCCAATGGAAGGTACTAAGAGTTTCAGTATTCAGTTTTTAAATAGGACTTCTTTGATTTAATTTTGGCAACATATTAAGCTTTTTTAATTGCAGAAAATCTGTGTCTCAAAAACTCTATGATTTATATACAGAAGAATGTGAAAAAGAACCCGAGATAAAGGTAAGTGGAAATTTCTGAGAAACTTTTCATTGCTGTCTAAACAGCCAAGATCAGAAAATACATTTTCTTTTATTTCACTTAATTTCTTTGTTGAAAGAAGAATAAACTCTTCCTGCTGTAGTAGTTACCGAAGGCTAAAACTGCAGGAGAAACCATTATTATGACTTTTGTGGACTAAACTGTGTAATTTAATAGCATCATCTTAGTTCAGTTTGAAATAAAAACAAGGTAATGGAAGAGCTAATGACTATCTGGTAACCCTAAATCTGTAATAAAGTAGAATGCTTGCTGAGGATTATATATAGTGTACTCTTAAGATGCTTTTCTCTATATGGAAAGAGAGAATTTTTTGCATACATAGACAAATAGTTAGGAAAAAATATTGTTTATTTAGAAATTCCATGAGTGGTTACTAGTAAGTATAAATTATTCTGTGCCTGTATTTTGGATTGAACAATGCCCTTAATTAAATGATCCTTTTTCTTGAAAATAATAAAGTTGGATTAGAACTGTTAACAGTATTATCAGTAACAGCTTCTAGAAGTTGTATTGGTTCTATCCCAGTGACAGAGGAATGGAATCGGTTTTTATTGTTTTATTTGTTATTTTTAAATATAACTATAGTGTAATTAATTTCTTCCCAATCTCTTTTACCTAACTTACAGAATTCTCATACTTCTTTCTGTTCTAATGCTTGTGCATAGCTAAATATTGAAGAATTAACTTATCCAACACAGGGGAACATACTCAAAACTTTTCAGTTTTAAAAGAGAGGATATCAGAGTATTTGAGTGCTGACTTTGCTCTCAAACGGCATTTACTGTACCTCAGGCTGCTTCCTACTGTATCTAAGTGAAAGCCCGATAGCTATATCCCCTACTCAAGCATGTGTCTAAAAACTGAAGCACTGCACCTGCAGCCTCTTGGTATTTGGTGGATGGTGGAGGGGTTAATAGGAGTTCTAGCTGAAGAATGTTTTGGATAACATGCTGCATCTCCAGCATCCTGTATGAGAAATTGGTTTTCATGAGCACTCTTACCTCTGTTGTTGCTGTGACATACTTTCCCCCATTGTCCCCCGCGCCTCAAGTTCTTTTCCCATTAATTCTAATTTTGTTTTCAGTCCTTTTTCTCTAAGTTTGTTCCCCTGTAAGTTATAATCCTGCTTTCTCTCTTTTCAGTATATATGGAAAGATGAATTCGTTAAAAAAAATGATAGCCCACTACTACTTAGTTGGGTGTATGTGAAATGAGTAGCTTGGCAGAGTTAGTAGTGCACTCAGGTAAAACTCCCAGTTAATGGCTCCACCCTGAGCTGATATTCAGAGATGAAATCTGGCCTCCAGCCAGAAGGTGTAAAAATCTGAGGTTTAGAATTTGTTGTCTTAGTTCATTGTTTAAAGCCCTTCTTTAAATGTTTCAGTTGGTAGGATATATATGGGGTCTCTGAAACACATCAAGTAATTTTAAAAATCTGTTATACATGAAAAAGATTATTCTTATAGTTAAATAAGGGAATAGTGTGCAGAATAGTCTGCAGCTGCTGGATCAGATTTCAGCAAATACAGACAAGAAAATGCGATTAAAGCTTCCAAATACTGTAATTCAGTATTTCAATCCTGGAGATAAATATCTGCTTCTGTTAGGAATATTTGAAGGTATTAAGTATGTTGTTGTTTTTATCAAACAGTGTGTAGTGGATAAATGATGTTTGTAGAAATTATACAAATAAATAGGGCCACTGTAGATTTATAACAGCATAGCATCATTCTTATTAACTCTGTTGTTTTTGGACTTCCAGTTCCAGGGTTTTTAATTTAAACAGGTGGGTTTTTTTCAAAAAATCTGTGTAATGTGTGATAATACATAATATGGAGCCCCTGATGGTGTAGAGGAAAACACACTGCACTGTCACTGCAGAGACCCGGGTTCGATTCCCGGTCGGGGCCCCTCCCCGGGCAGATGGAGCTCGTTAGCCTGTAAAGGCAATCCATCTACGTCCTGAGGACCTCGCTGCCACCGTCCAAGCATGCTTGGCCCCGGCAGATGAACCTCAGGATTAAAGGGTGGGCTCAGTTCCGCGCACACTGTGTCTCACCTAAAAAATCCAATGCGCAGGCTGGAAGGTGGAAAGACCTTCCCCGGTTCTTCGTTCGCGAAGAGACTGGCCACACTGGCCACACAATACATAATATATTTACTCTGTTGAATACAGTACAATTAAATTTAAATGGGCTTGTTTGGATGTATACTTTGTCATTAATCTAAATAATAATCATATTCTAGCAGTTGTTTCTCTTTCTATTAATTATTTAATTGTATTATGTTCATGAGCAATGTTTACTTTTAAAGCAGAAGCTGAGGAGAAATGTGAATTTACTTGAGAAGCTGGTTATGCAGGAGACGTTGTCATGTTTGGTAGTGAACCTCTATCCGGGAAATGAGGGTTATTCACTTATGCTCAGGGGAAAAAATGGTTCAGGTAATATTTTTGCTCTTTAATTTTTAAAAATACTCAGAATGCTATGCAAATAGTTGGAATGTATTGTTGCTCACATTTAACTGTTCCACTTCTAGGATCATTCTGGGGAGAAGGGGTCGAGGGAGAACAAACAATTGTACTTGAATTAAAAATTTGCATAAAGCTGTGAGGTGCAGTGCAAATCTGTAGATACGAACCTTTTTAATAGCCTTTTTATTCTCTTATTTCCACTTAGTTTCTTGAGTTGCATATCCAAGTTTCTCTTACATCAGGTTCCTTCTGTCAGATTGTTTCTTTCACTGTTTCCTATATCTAGGTCTGTCTAAAGGCATTTGTGTTCCACTTTGGTTGTATCTCCTTGCTGTTGGTACTATGATGTGAAATAAGAGCATAGAGTATGTCACCTGGGAGCAAAAATTCTGTCTTTTAGCACCATAAGAGCAAAATAAAACTCTGGGAAGAAAAAGGCGTGTGAAAATAATTACTGTGCAAAAAAAATGGTCTGTTTGGATAGTTTCTGCCAACACTGCTTTTTGCTGTTGCACATTTGTTTTAGATTTGTCTTTGTTAAAGTTGGAACTTTAGAGGCAAAAGAAAAGTAATATGTTTTGTTTAAATTCAGATTCTGAGACCATTCGTCTGCCTTATGAGGAGGGAGAGCTGCTTGAATATTTGAACGCCGAGGAACTGCCACCTATTTTGGTTGATCTTTTGGAAAAATCTCAGGTTTGAAAGTTGTTTTTTTTTCCAAAAGAACTTATGTTTTGGACCCAGATAGATCTTGATTTTTTTTGAATGTTTCGCACCGGTGTTTCTAATCACAAGTACTCACTGTAATTTTATTGTTATTCAGTAAAAAAAATACTGAGGAGAAAGAGAAATTGTTATGGTTATAGCTGTAAAACAACTTCAGCTCTGTGCTCTAGCAAAATGCCCTTGGTTCTTCATTGTAACGACAATGGCATCAGAATTTCTTGAAATTACATTGCTGGCATATGAAACAGTATGTTTTAAGCTTGTATTTTAGGTATGTCTAGGTATGTAGTAAAGAGCACTGGTCTGAAAAAATTAGTGATTAGTTTTATTTATAGTTTCACTGAATTTTATATGTTATATAAAAAACTTCTATTTAGAGGTGGGGTGAATTGATAAATATTTGTTTATTTAAAAGTTGTTTTTCTTTCTTTCAACTAGGTTAATATTTTTCATTGTGGATGTGTCATAGCAGAAATACGTGACTGTAGGCAGTCTGGTACCATGAAATCTCCAATATACCAAAGCAAGCATGTTCTTTTGCGTCCTACAATGCAGGTAAGGAGTGGCTTAAGTAATTTCTCAGTGTTACCATAGTTCCTAGACTGGATATGCACTATTACAGAACATATATTAAGAAATCTTATTACTCAGTTGAAAGCTAATTGCCATTATGTCTTTCTTCTTCCTCAGACTTTAATTTGTGATGTTCATTCTATAACAGGTGACAACCACAAATGGACACAGGTGGGTTAGAGGTTATTTTAAAACTTTACAGTGATGTCATAAATACATGATAAAGTTAAGTTATTTAAAATTTTCTATTTGTTTAATAAATATAGAAATTACTCTTTTTCTATTAATTCAAACTGTCAGCATGTATATTTGTGCATAGTTCATGCTTCAGAGAGCTGCGAAATTAACTTAATAGCATTTTTCCACAAGATGCCATAGAATACAATAGGATCTGCTGAAGGTTTTGTAGAATCAGACCTTAATTTTTGGAAGTGCAAAATGACAGCCTTGGAGTGACTCTTAACTAGTTTATCCTACGTCATTCATTGCAATGTGCAGCCCTGGCAATCTAATGACACAATTGCTCCTCCACCTTTATTTTACTATTAATACTTTTAAAGTAAAGAGGATCTAAAGTAACTACAGTTGTACAGTTATAGTTAGTGAATTGCTGAACAGCATGGTGTACTCAGTGTAGTTGTTTGTATGTGAGAGCCACGGTCATGCTCAAATCTATTTCAAATTGTAATCTAAAGTAGATCATCTTTATGGCACTGATTACCAGTACATCAATATAAATCACTGACAGAAAATGGATTTCACTGGTATGTTTAAAGCAAGCAAACAAACCCCCCCCCCAAAAAAAAACCCAGAACACGACCTGTACTTTTCAGCAGGTTTCGTGTTTTTTTCCCATTGGAAACCCTAGCCAAGCTGTGTAACTGATAATAATGGCTAGGGATACTTAATTGTTGAATAGTTTCTTTTGTTGACTCTCCACACACAATTTTTTCTGTTTTCTCTAAGATGATGTCCATCTCCATAGGTATATAAGAGCTTAATTAGTGTAAATGTTTTTGTAATTTAACATTTTTTAATAGCTGTGTATATTACAGGAGGACAAACTCCTACTTGAGAGCCAACTTATTTTGGCTACAGCAGAGCCTTTGTGTCTTGATCCTTCAATAGCAGTGATGTGTACTACAAACAGACTCCTGTACAACAAGCAGAAGATGAACACTCGCCCCATGAAACGGTAGTTTTCAGTGTGAAACATTTTCAAAGAAATATATAAATAATGCTTTATGTGAAAATTTAGCCACTCATATGAAATACTTACTGAAATATTAGGATTGTGTGAGAAACAGTCAAGAAATTATATCTTATTTTTAAGTGCTCAGTTTAAGTACTCTGTATTTCAGTTAGTAGAAAATACTATAGTATGCTTATTTTTGTATATCAAAGGAAAGTGTATATAAATTTTCTCAACATAATATGTTATATTGCAGTTTGAACTTAGTCTTTATTTTTTTTCATAATTTATGTGGAGGCTGAGTCAGATGGCAGCTCAGTATTGTAAAATATATAAATGGATATGTTGCATATTGGTCTCTGATCTGTTAAAAGCTATGTATAAGCTTAATTCTGAATGAGGAAATCAAGGGAATTATTTGTATGTTTGATGTTCAGGCTAAACAGAAGTGTAGGCATATCAGAATCTTGGAAAAGTTAGAATTATTTCACTTTTCTGCATTGTTGTTCACTTTTTTCCCACAAAAGCTTGAAATGGTTCATATTTGTTCTGCTACAAGAATTTCATTCATTCTGTAGAAAGGAAATGTACTAATGGTCTGTCAAAATTAATGAAATATTTAAAATTAGATCTGTATTGTAATACTGTGCTAATGCAAAACTTGTGGCAATGTCAAAAATAGTGAAATTGATCGATCTGTCCTTGAAATGAAAGCTTGGTGGTCAAAAAACATTCCACTAGAAAAATAGACAAAGGTGTTAAATGAATGTCTGGAACAGCATTACTGTAGCAACGAGTTTGTCGTGAAACAAATAGAGAGCATTTACTGTGTTTGTAGTTACATAAGCAGTACGAAGATCTTTTGATGGAACTGAAATCTGTGATAATATACAAATATTTTAAGTTTAGCAACTTCTTAATCACTCCTTTTGATAATGTATTTCAATTATGCATCTAAAAAATAACCCCATTCTTAGTGCTAAAACACATGAAGAGAATACTAGTGTATTTTATAAATATGAAGTAAAAAGAGTTGTACAGTGTAATCCAGAAAAGTAGGAGTTCTCTGCATATTTTTGTGTTCCTACAGAGGCAGTGGAGAATTTAATATTAATGGTTTTACAAGCTTGAGTCATTTTGCCATAGGTGCTTCAAAAGGTACTCAAGGTCCTCTCTGAACAGACAGCAGGAAGTAGCTCACTTCTCAACTCCACCTCAGCTCAGACTACTTGACTACTTACAGAAAAGGAAGGAGAGGAAAGCAGCCCAGCAGTATGACCTCAAAATTTCTAAAGCTGGAAACGTAAGTGTTCTGAGAAGTAATTTCATATGCTTCTAAATATTTAATTAAAGCATTTAATATATTAATTCTGCTTTTTCATTTTCCAGTGCGTAGATATGTGGAAACAGAACCCTTGCTACTTGACTGTCCCTTCTGAAGTAGATGTAAGACCAGTTGTTACCATTAGCAATTGTATTGAACATTGTATTATATGAAGAAGTGACTAAAGAGTATCCAGTATCAAAGAAAAAATGAGATGACTTTACCATTTACAATTACTTTTCTGTACTACAAGGTATAAACACAAGTGAAACCACACCACAATTGTAACAGAATAGTTTGTATGAGGGAAACTGTACTATATTTCTGTTACTATATTTCTTCTGTGGGTTCACTGAGCACACGTCTATTTGAAGTTGTTTGACAGTATAAAAACCAGAAGAACAAATGAGGTTTGTAGATTATTTAAAAATGAGTCACTTCTCATCTTGGTAGAAATTCCTCTCTTTTGATGTGTTATGATACTATGGCACATTATGACTTTGAGAAGTTTTGATTTTTATACAGAGAGTTCTAATTGAGAGTTCTTTTGATCACTCTGTGTGCATTCTTTTCTCAGGGACATTTGTGTTCTTAGTTTCTGGCACTGCCAAAACACATACTACCAGTGTACAGAAGGGACTCATAATCATAGAATATCCTGAGTTGGCAGGCACCTACAATGATCATCACCTCCTGCAGCACAGGACAACCCCAGAAATCACACCAAGTGTCTTATTCAAACACTTGAACTCCATCAGGCTTGGTACTGTGAACACTTCCCTGGGGAGCCTGTTCCAGTACCTGACCACCCTCTGGGTGAAGCAGTTTTTCCTAATATCCAACCTAAACCTCCCCTGACACAACTTCAGGCCATTCCCTCGGGTCCTGTCACTTGCCACCACAAAGAAAAGAGGCCACACCAGTGCAGAGCAGAGTGGGACAATCACCTCCCTCACTCTTTTGTTTAACATAGCAAATACGGTGTAACACTATAAATGTAAGTTCTGAAAATTCTCTAGTTCAGCTTTTCTGAATGCATAAAACAGGGGATTCTTTCTTTTCTGCTCTCTCTATTTTCTTTAAGGTGGAAAAATATGCCAAAGTGGAAAAGTCTACCAAGCCTGATGACTCACAACCAACTGTCTGGCCAGCACATGTGAGTAGTTTAGACCTTTGGCCAAACTTTGCTGCCTTTAGTTAAAATGCCTCTTATTTCAATAAAATCAAAATAATGTAGGAGTAATCTTCTCTACCCAATTTAATTAATCTTCCATGTTTTATATAGACACAAGAATATTACCAGAGATACTTGTAATTTTCTACAGTACAGCAAGGATATCTTGTAATTTCCTCAGGTTTTCCAGAAATACAAGGAAGAGCAGCTTGCAGTAAAAAAAGCATAGTAATTTCCAGGGAGCAGCAGTCTGCTCAACAAATTGCTTTCTTTACTCAGACACTCAAAGGGTGATGGAAAAGAGCTTCAGTTAAAATCAAGATGTTAAATTTTGAAAGAGTTTAGTATTAAATACCTCTTACAAAAAGCTCTTTCTTCATTATGTAAGTTGAACTTTGAAGATTTGAAGACTTTTGGCACAAATTACGTTATTTGATAAGAAGTAGTAATTTAATATAATCAGCCGTAGATAATTGATTAATTTTTTCTAATTTTAGAGGCAAGAAACTATCTTCATTAACAGCACGTATCATGATGTCTTTGTAGTTTTATATTGGAAAAAAGTAATACTTTCCCAATTGAACTTAACCTTCACTCTCAATGTTTTGCTCTGAACATTTTTTGCATTGTCATAATTTATATTAAACTGTTCCTATATATGTTTACCCCGTCTGCCTTTCCATGTCTAACGATTGTTTAGGTTTTGCAATATCTTTGTATTTTTTAAGAGATGATAAACTCTTTTTCCTTTCTTCCCTTTAGATAACTTTCAAATAACTTTCATTTCAGATAATGCACTCCTTCCTGTAGAGTTTTACTTACAGAGTTACTTACAGAATGTTTCTTACTATATTGTATATACAGCTGATCTGTTTTACTCACTGATTCTGCCAACTGTTGTTCAAGACTTACTAGGTTATTTTCTTCTGTCTTTTTAGGAAATAAAAGATGATTATGTATTCGAATGTGAAGCTGGTAATCAGCTTCAAAAAACAAAGCTGACCATTTTCCAGTCTCTTGGCAATCCCTTGTACTATGGTAAAATTCAGACACTCAAAGGTGATGAGGAAAATGACAACCCGTTTACTCCATCACAGTAAGTTACATGCATTTTTAAACTGTGCTGTGACCTGATAGACGAAGAAATACAACAATGTAAAAACAACCACCAAGAAACACAATCCACAAAAATTCTGGAGACACCATGAGACACTGTTGCACTCTTTTTTAGTGTTCTTAAAATCTCCCTGATGTTGTGAAAGCTTGAGACTTGACTATATTTACCCTTAGACAGAGAAATTTAAGCTAAATAAATGAAGGAAAACATAAGCTTCTAAGAAGCTTTTTAATTTTGAATTAGTTTGAATAGACTGGTTTTGGCTGTGTTTCTACAAAGATTTTTTGTTCTTGGCTCTTTTTGTTGTATGTACCAGAGTATTTATGTGGAGGAACCTGTACAGCAGAGTAGAACCTATAAATTTCAGTAAGGCAAAGAGCAGTGAGCCTGAGCAAACTTTTTAATTCTGCTAATGAAAATTATTTTTATTGTCTAGTGTGTAATTCTTCTCTTATTTTTTATCCAAATCTTAAAACATCTTGAGTATTAAGAATATTTTATCCATGGACTTGAATAGTTTGTTTCCATATTGTTGTGGTTTAACCCCAGCTGGCAACTAAGCACCATGCAGACACTCACTCTGCCCCTCTTCCCCTGCCTCCCCAGTGGGATGGCGGAAAGAATTGGAAGGGTAAAAATGGGGAAACTTGTTGGTTGAGATAAAGGCCATTTAATAGGCAAAGGAAAACCCACACACGAAAGCAAAGCAAAAGCAAGAAATTAATTCACCACTTTCCTTGGGCAGGTAGGTGTTAATCTGTCTCAGGGAGAGCAGAGCCCCATCATACCCCATCATAAAGGTTACTTGGAAAGACAAAGCCATCACCCTAACTACACTCCCCTCCACCTTTCCTTCCTTTTACCACTGGCTTTATATGCTGATGATGCCATATAGTATGGAATACCCTTTCTTTGGTCACTTGGGGTCAGCTGTCCTTGCAGTATCACTTCCCACTTGCTGGTGAGAGACAAAAAAGAACTTTGTAGGTACTGCTCAGAAATACTTAAAATACCCATGTATTATTAACACTGTTTTCAGCACAAATCCAAAACACGGCCCTATATCAGCTACTATGGAGAAATTAACTCTAACCTAGCCAAAACCAGCACACATACTAATTTATCTTCCTAGAAGAGCAGTGCTAGCTTAGAGTTGTGTAATAAGGTTGGGAATTAAATAATTTAGAGGTATTAGGTGCCTGGGGGGGTGGTGGTGGGGTGGAGTTAATTGCTAAGATATTGCCAATTAAAGTTCATAAAAAGTTGGATAATTCTTCATTAGCAAACTGTCATACAAAATAAAAGGTGAAGTAAACATTTTTGTTGTTCAGTAAAATGAAACAATTTTTAAATTTTTTTTTATTCTTGGAGCTGGAGAAAGAGACAAAAGGTGTTTTTAAAAAAATCACTGCAGTAATAAGTTGGCAAGCCATAAGTGCTATGCAAAAGAGAAATACTTATTTAGGAGGGCTGGAAAATCATAGGGAATTGGAATTTGCATACGTGAAATCAAATAATGGAAGCTAAATATTTGCTAAAATATTAATGGGTAGGGCTGTTTTTGACATACCCTTAGGACAGTTATATTTCAGTGTGAGCATATTGGTATGTTGTTCATTTATACATAACTTTGTACTTTTTACAGTAACAATTCTGTAGCAGTTATGTCTATTTCTTTGAAAGTATAAAATCCAAAACTTCCATATTTTGCTTTTCGCTTTGTAGGTAATTTACTCCTAAAGGAGACCATATTAGACCATGTGTGTATATCTTATATATAGTTAGGAATTCAAGTATATATTTCAAGTACTGAATAATAGCCAGTCCATTGAATGGATGCATAATCGCCTGTATGTTGAGCAGGTCTGAAAAAAAGGAAGCACTGACATTTGTTTGAAGTCTTGTGATTATAAAAATATGGTCTTTTAGTCCAATTCATGACTGAAAATGTATTTTCCATTTTAGGTTCCTTATTGGTTCGAAGACTGATGCTGAAAGGTAATTTAATATAGTATATACAGCCATTTGATTTGGTGCCAAATAATGAATGTTGTTCCTTTTACCCATTTTGTTATGTTTATAGAAACAGATGCAGAACAGATGAGGAGAAATAAGAGGAATTAATCATCATAACAGGAAGTAGAATATAGTGTGTAGTTTCTGTATTTAAGAAGCAAGGAAGAACAGACAAAATCAAATATGTGATTCCAGTTTGTTGTGCTACCTGAACTTTGAGAGCACTTAGCAGGAATTCTATCCTGACATTTTGTATGGTAAATTAGCCTTCATTGAAATGATTCATTTGAAATTGTCATTTGAAGCATAATCTAAGACTTAAGGTTTACTTTACAACTTACTTTTGCGTGCTGTGCATTACTTAATTCGGCTTTTCCAGAGAAGCAACTAAGAAGACAGTTTTTCAGTATATTTTAGTCATAGAATGAGTAGGAGTAGCAATTCAGGGATAACAGGCAGCAAAATAAATGTTTTTTCAAATGTTTGTCAGTGTGCATCACATTAGATACCTGTACATATGAGCACAGAACCTTTAAAAAGCAACCTCTGTCAAAGCCAGTTGTGTTTTTGTGACTCCATAGGATATCTTGAGCTGATATACATGCCATAACTCTCATCCCTGTCTTATGTGCCTGGCAGGGAAGTGAGTCTTTTATTTGACCAAAATTAATAATCATGTTCTTTTCTTAAATAGGTAATTTTGATCAAGAAACCCTTTGCTTATATTCTCCCCTGCCTCCTTTGTGCTGATACTTTTGCTGTTTGTTCTGTAAGATAAACTGGAGGATTGGCTGGCTGAAAACTAAAACAACAATAATACAAGGGCCTAGTTGCAATGGAGATTGGTTTCCTGATCCTGCTTGTCACTTGGTTGCACAAGTCCTTCTATCAGAATAAGCAACTGGGTTTCAGAGACTAGGACAAGATGCAACAATAGAGGAGGGCAGGACCACATTTTGAGTACTTGGCACTTTACCGCTCTTAAATCCACTGTAATTTTAAGTCAGTCTGAAACCTAATTGCTGAAAAAAGTACACTGCACCCTTTCCTCTGTCGTGTATCTCTGGGCCCTTGCTTAGGTCTGCATTAGTCAAGTAACAGCACATTACAGAATCAGTGCTATACCAAAATAAAATGTTGTTCATTGTTTAGGTGTAAAGTAATAGAAATATTCCAGCAGTTTTTCATTGAGTCTGCCAGAATGTAAGTTAGAACAGCACTTCAGCTTGATTTTTCAAGTCTGCAAGGTCACTTTGTATATTCTGCTCATGTTTGTGAAACAGTTTTACCTCAACTTCGTTGTCTTAGATTAGTAGAGATGTAGTATTTCATTTGATAGAAGAGAATCTTAAATGTGTTTGCCTGGTGCTATTGGTGCTTTATCAAATGTCTGTCATGATGCTCAAAGAGGAGTGATTGTTCATCCCTTACTTTTAGACTCCTCATCTGACATAGACCTCAAGATAAAGGAGGGGTTGACTGCTCCACAGGGAGCATAAGCAGAAGAGACACCTTTTATAAAAGATTCTGGGCTTCTGTGAAGGGAGTGGGATCCCCATTGACTGACATCCCAAAGACCTGCTGTTGCTTTTCAGAAAGGGATCTATTCTACCTACTGTTTTTTCGCGAACGAAGATTTGAGAGGGGCTCTACCCACGCTTGCTACAAGCGCGCTGATGGCTAAAAAGGCCAATGCGAGATAGACAAGTCCGGTTGCAGAACGTACAGCAGAAAGACTCTCCAGGTGATATCGACAAGACGCGATTCTTTCTGCGTTGTCTTTTCTCCTCGAGAGTGATCCTGCGTGTGTTCTCAAAAGCATATAAACTATATGACCATAGCATATACAATTATGTGTTTTTATATATGTATCTACTTTAGAAGTTAAAAGTTGTTAATCTTTTTATGTTCTCCTTGTTTGTTTCAGGGTGGTGAACCAGTATCAGGAGTTGGTACAAAGTGAAGCCAAATGTCCTGTGAAAATATTTCATAATTCAAGTGGATCAGTCAATCTTAGTCATCTTTCTCCAGGGAAGGAAATGGAAGTGAGTTTATTGAGCCACACATTTTTTATTTTCCCCTGATTATCGAATTATTACAATTTCAAAGATTGCTTTGTTTGTTTCAAAGGGTATTTTGAGTTGGAAGGGACCTGCAGGGATCATCAACTCTTAAGTGAATGGTCCATATGGGGATTGAATGCCATGACCTTTGCATTATTTGCATGTGTTCTAACCAACTGAGCAAATCTCAGGATAATTTTTGCTATCTACATTTAGAAGTAAAATAACATAACAATGTCATCCTGAATGAATTTTTGAATGTGTTGTAGTCATGATCATTCAGTGTGAGTATATTGGAAAAGTTAAAGGAAAGCATTTATGTTTTCTGTGTTGAAATGTTATCTTTTTGATGTTTTGGGTTTTTTTTGGCTGTGTATAGTGTAGTTAGCTCCAGGGTTTTGTTTTAGCATGTTTGCCTGTTCAGATGAACCTTTCACAGAAGAGTCTAATAAAATGCAGCTATATGTTTTATTTTTCAGGTCAGTAAACACAGGAGATGGAGTACCTAAACTTATTTTACCTTTAGGAATTAAAATTGTTTTCTCTTTAATCTGAAGTGGAAAACCTAAAACAAAGAAAAAACAAAAAAAAAAATCCCAAACAAAAAAATAACAAACCACCGCTCTCCAAATAAGTTTCAAGTGTGTATATTTGCATCCACACGCGCTTCAACATTTCCAGTATAAATTCACGAATTCCAAGATTTTCCTGTCTGTTGGCATTGCCTTGTGTTTTGTGCTGCTTCTGGCTTTGTTGGTCAGATTCAGAACTTTAGCAGTGAGCTGTATTTAGGCTCCAAGTAGTAAATGACATTTGTATCTGTTCGGCTATTTCCTTAGTGACATCTCTCCCCTAAACACCTAGTTTTAAACTCCAACGACATTGCTGTCAAAGAGGTAGTTCTTGGTGTCAGCCAGACCAGCAGCATTTCAAGGCCAGCAATTGCAGAAAGGGATGTGAAAGTTAATGTGTATACACATACAGGCATGTACTTGCACATGTTTATATATGCAAAAATCATATAATAACTTGGGGTGGGAGGGTATTTGCAGAAGTCATCTTGTCTGCCTGTGCAAGCCCCCACCAAAATCTGGACCAAAGTTACTCAGGTTACTGTATTCAATGTTCTAGTCACCTTTAGTCTTTATTTTCAAAATCAAGCAAGCAGATTGTAGTAAAGAAGAGAAAGGTAGTCCTCAAAATTTTTCTCAAAAAATTCTTTTCCATAAGCAAGTAATTAGAAATAGGTAGAGAGACTCTTTAATTACTGAGAATCAGTGGGAGCTAAGCTTACCAAAAAGGATGATTCTGCACAATGCAGAATGATCTGATTTCCCAATTCATGCACATGTAATTTAGACTCCAGCACTGAAATATTCCATTCATCATATCAACAACCTCATGCTCTAGTTTCAGCAGTTTGTGGGCTGTATGTTTGTTTAGACATTACTTTCATTTATGGAAAAATACATATAGGTAAAAATTTTATAGGTAAAAATTTATAGGTAAAAATACATAGACTATATATAACTGTAAATATGTTTCATTCTTGAGTCTTTTGACAGTGTCATCTATTGGAATTACGGATTTGGGGTCTGTTGTGACGGACTGCGAACTACAGACTCAAGTAGCTGAAGTCGATTTATGTTCAAACAGCCTGATAAGTAGATTTTAGGAATAAATAAAAAGGGAGCATCTTCCCTCTAAAAACATTAATGAAGTTTTGATGCCACTGAAGCCAGTGGGGAAATGTATCTAGATTTCTGTGCATTCAGGATTTTGCTGAATGCATTTAAAATCCTACTCCTAGAATCAGGAATTCCAATCCTGTTCTTTAAATCTGTCTTGGTTGGAAATGTCAGGTAAATACAAAGTGAATAAATGAAATTATGCAACTTTTCAAGTAAAACCAAAGTGTTCTTTTACTTCAGGAGCATTTGTCATGCTTACATTTGTGAAAAGTACTAAGAAGGATTTCAGAATTATGGAGAAAAGTGAAACTCCTTAATTACTTTGCTTATTTTTTTGCACAGTTTAAATTTTTACCAGCACTTTCGTGCTGCTGCTTGATGGTAAACACTTTATCTAAAGGGACTTGGTCCTAGGTTATGTTTTTTTAAATAAATACGTAAAAATCTGAAATGTTTTGAAGGGAATTTTGGCATAGTTTTGAGGTGTCTTAATACAAATTACTTGAATTGTCTGTCAACTGTGTGGAAGCTGACATCATTGCTGTGGTATTGTTAATTCCTCTTTCTTCCCAGCAGCCAGAAAGTATATCAGGCTCTGTTCAGTCTTCAGTGCTGGGGAAAGGTGTAAAACACCGACCTCCTCCTATCAAATTACCTTCAAGTTCAGGAAGTAGCTCTTCAGGTAATTATTTATTAACTCAAGCATTTCCTTTTTACATGCTCTATAAAGGCAGGATATCCCTTTAGTAAAGATTTAATAAAAAAATACCAGTATCTTATCTGTGAAAAGAGCATAATTTTTTTGATTTCTGATTATATTGGTTACAAAATTGTAACCTAGCAAATATTTGAGTTAATCTGTACTCACAGAACAATAAGGTATTTTAATTATGCTTTTTCAGGTAATATTTTTAGTTCACAACAGTCAAGTGGCCATCTAAAATCCCCAACTCCTCCTCCTCCTTCTAAGCCTCCTGGTCTATCTCGGAAACAATCTATGGATCTTAATCAAGTTAGCATGCTCTCTCCACCTGCCTTGTCTCCTGTGAGCTCTTCACAAAGTGAGTCACGACCTAAGTTCTCCATTAAATCTTAGGCTTTTGCATAAATGCTTCCCTAGATAAACTTCTTAACCTGTGGAATGATGAAACTTGAAGTATACAGTGTACCCCAAATTGTGTAAGTTGTGCAGTTTTAGGCAGGTCTCTTGTTCACTGTGTGTATTTTCTGTTTATTGTAACTGTGTTTGTTTTCTGTATAAATATGTATGCACCCTCTGTGTATATGTTTTAATACATTTTATGCAATTAGTGTGATCTCTTCATATATGAAAGCCTGATAGACGAAGTGATGAGATAAAATTCTAAACTGTAGATTTTTTTTTCCTCCAGTGTAAAAACAGTATGTTAGATCAGTTTGCCTTTACTTAATTTAAGCATTTAGTTTATTAAATGTTATAGGAGCTGGTGCAGTTGTGTATAATATGTATATATGTATATAATATGTATATAATCTGATCAGTCCCAAGGTGATGATACAATAAACAATAAGATGATTTTTTAAAAACACTCCTACACTGTTTTACAAATCATTGCTGATTGCAAGTGTGGTGGTGATGCTGCTGCTGATAGCACCAAATGCTCAGGTGTTAAAATGCGAATTTCAATCAGAAGTGATGTTCTAGTTTAAGTATTTTCATTAACACTGACAGGTTCATTGTAATCATAGCTAAAGATCATAATTTTTTTTTAAATATGTATGTGTCTTGAGCCATTTCATGAACAGATTTTACAAAGAGGAAACCATAGCTGCAGTTTCTCAGGTTTCTTACGAATAACGACACTGTACATTCATTCCAGTATCCTGCACAGTATTATAATATGCTTTTTGCATTAAATAATTTAAAAACTGGGTAGGTCAAAAGGTGTAACTTTTCTGCCTTTTTGTTTTGTACAAAGAAAAAAAGAAGAAAACTTACAAAAGTTTTCTTCTAACATATTGACTCGGTTTTATGTTAGTGCTATGAATTGTGTAAATCTGCTGCACACAATTGTTACGTTAAGGCTCTGGTCACCATTCAATTTATTTCCTTTCTTTCTGCAGGACATGAAAGCTAAAAAAGAAAAAAAAAAAGAAAACAAACAAAAAAAAACCAGCTCAAGTTTTTGGGTTTTCTGTTGATAAACTTTGGCTACTGCCTCCACAACAAATACAGCTGTATTTGCTACATTTAAGCAGAAGGAATCACACAGTAGCTTTTAAAGATGCAGTATTATCCTTTGGTTCTTAAATAATTGCTTTTTAGTCGATCAAAATTTGGCAAATGGCAATTTAACTATCTAATGAGATTTAGATCAGTCCTATGATGATTGAAATACCACATGTTCTTTGTTGACTCTGTTTTCCATGATATGTTTGTTTTTTTAACACTATGCTATTGTGGAAACAGTATACATATATATGAGTGCCCCTGGTGGTGCAGTGGCTAAACCGCAGCACTGTCAACGCTGAGATCCGGGTTCGATTCCCGGTTAGGACACTCCCCGGGCAGATGGAGCTCGTTAGCCCTGTAAGGCAATCCATCTACATCCTGAGGACCTCGCTGCCACCATCCAAGCGTGTTTGGCCCTGGCAGATGAACCTCAGGATTAAAGGGTGGGCTCAGTTCCGCGCACACTGTGTCTCACCTAAAAAATCCAATGCGCAGGCTGGAAGGTGTAAAGACCTTCCCCGGTTCTTCGTTCGCAAAGACTGGCCATTACATACATATATATAGTATTTGTTTAACAGTGTAGGACAAAAACATTAATTAGGTTAAAGTGATCACTAAGAAATTGTTGTAAGTGCTCCTAAATGGATTTATGACTTAATGTACAATAAATTATGGAAGCCTTAAAGGAGGATACAAATCGGTGTATGCCATAAGGAATGAAGCATGAGAATGGGCTTTCTTTGTGATTATACTGGGTCCTGAACAACAAGTGCGTGCTGCAACACTTGCGCCATGTAGAAATTAACACCTGCAGTCTAAAAAACAAAACAAGTTGTCAGTGCTAAGAAAGATTCCATTAACCTTATTATACAAAAAGGATTGGCCTTTTATAACAAACTAGCACTTTTTATTTTTCTCAATGAGCAGGGTCTGGAATTCCTAAACCATCTACTCCTACTCCAACCAACACCCCTTCATCGACCCCACACCCTCCTGATGCTCAGAGCTCAAGTCCTATTACCCCTTCTGCCACCCTTCCTCCCCAAGATTCAGGCTTCACCCCTCGGCCCACTTTGTTAACCCCATTTGCTCAGCAGCAAATGTTTCTGAGCCAGGCACTGCCCATAATGACCATTCCTCTTTCCACCATGGTAACATCCATTACTACAGGAACAACCTCCACCCCGGTCATGGAAAACCCTACAGGACTTAACTTCATCAATGTAGTGGGCTCAGTGTGGTAAGTCTTTTGTTATGATGGTTTCTTAATTTGCCGTGGGTTGACTGGTGGGAGGGGGAGAGTGGCCTAGGACTGTCCACCATCCACTAGGGTAGATACATTTCAGGATCTGCAATATAATCTGTAATTATAAAGTGAAGAGCCACTAGAAACTGTTTGAATTTCTCAAATAGAAAGCACCTACTACTGGAATATTGAAAAGGTCTATTAAGAAAGGCCTTTATTACTTTAATCTTTTTGGAGTCATATGAGTCAATTTCTTAAGGCTTAATCTCAATTAGTTGGTTTCTGTCTGAGGTTTTGCTCTTAAAGTTTGAAAACTTTTATTAATCAGAGAGGAGGTAGAATACCATATGCAGACCAATTTAAATGAAAAATGGAAACAGGTTTGTTTCAATCAATTTAAAAAACTATTGAGGTTAAACAGTCTTTGATCCCTAAAACCCATTTGTGGTTTAAAGAAAATAATAAATGCTGATTGTGTGGTATAACATGAACTGCTTTTTAGACTAAAAGAAATTCTGCAACTAAGATAGTCAGTGCAAGACATAGTGTGCTCCAGTGCAAGCATCAGACACTTGAATTATTCATAAGGTGTTCAGCAGTTGATCACTGTTGATAAATTGGGGATATTTTTTATATGGCAAAAAGAAAATGCAAACCTGTTCCTTTTATGGTAGTACAACCATTTTGATGACACTTGATCTTTTAGGATTTCTAGAATAAAAGTACTGCTTGTGGTTTATTTTCCTTAGCTGATATCATAGAATTAAAAAACCTGTATATGCGAAGAATATGGAGCATACGTGTTATGCTCTAGGCAAAACAATTTTTTTTTATGCTGCATTGATGCTTTATCCATAATCCCATTTACAACGAACAATTGATTTACTTGCTGTGAGACGGAGGGAAAAAATGTAGTTACTCAGATTCACTCTTGCCACTTGGATTTGATGTGATGTCTTTCCTTTTCTGCAGTGGAGCACAGTCACTGATGAGTGGTTCAAACCCTATGCTGGGGTGCAGCACTGGTGCCATAGCCCCTGCAGGTATAAATCTGAGTGGCATTTTACCGTCAGGAGGTCTGGTACCAAGTGCACTGCCCGCTGCAATGCAGTCTGCCCCTCAAGCAGGTCAGTGTGACTCAGTTGAAAAGCCACCCTTCAGATAGGGACAGCATGAGAACATTTTGTGAGAAAAATGAACAAAATAGATTGTGTATTTGATGGCTGGAGCTCAGGAATAACGTATGTGGTTTTGCATTCAAAGTATAAACTATGTTGGAGATTGTTTGAAATTGATTTTTGGTGAGCTAGACTCAAAACCTGGATTGGTTGGTATGCTCAGTAGGAAGTTTGAGAGAAACTCCAAACTCAAATGCAACTTTGATAATGATGACTGCCAGAAAGGGGGCATGACTGAACTTAAAAAGAGGACTCACTTTTTAAATGTGTGCAGCATTTTATTCTGTCCCTGGTACTCCTTTCTTCTAGTACAACAATTAAGTAATTCCTTTTTGCCTTTAAATGTGACTGTATAAATCTTAAAAGTCCAATTTAAATTCTCCGTTTGTTTTTTATGAACATATAATAAAGAAAAAAACCCTTATGTATGATTATAGAATGAGAATGACAGGAGACTTCAAGATATCCATCCCTTATGATAAGAAAGCTAAATCTGTCTAAACCATACGGAACCAATCTTTATCTAAGTTGTCTTTAAATAGTTTTACTAAAGAAGATTCCAATCTTCCTCAGTAGCTGTTTGGAGTAGTTTATTAGCAGTGCAAAATGTTTGCTTCTAATTACAGTGCATCTCCTTAATTGCAAGATGGTTTTTTTCTCCTGTGCCTTTCAGACATGAAAAATGGTCACTCACCCTTTCTCTTTACCTTCTAAATACCAAACATGCTTTCATATCCCACATTTGTCTTCTTTTTCTGATAGGTCGTATTTTTCAAACCTGTCATAATCCTGTCACTCTCTTCTAGACTGTCCAATTTGCTTACATCCTTCTTAAAATGTGATAACCAAAACTGGACACAAGCCTGAGCTTGGCTGATTTACCACTGTGGAGCACAGCAGAATAAATGCATCTCATCTCTTTCACAACATTCCTGTTAACATTTCCCCAAATGAGGTCTGCCTATTTTTTATCTGTATTTTTTGCAACAGCATTACATTAACGTAAGAATGGCTTTACTGGTTTAGGCCAAAAATCCATCCAGTTTATATTCTGTCTCTGACAGTTGCCATTAGAGGATACTGAGGAAAGAGTTTAAGATGGCAAAGGTGTGAAGTAAAACATCCCCTCTCTACAACTGTACCTCTTTTGGCAATCTACAGCTTTGAGACTTTTTAAGCTGAAGAATATCCACATGGATCTTTGTGCTTAATATCCTGTGCTAGATTTCTAGTCTGTGGTTTTATCTAATTGGTTTTTGAACCCATTTATATTTCTGGAACCTACAGCATCTTGTGACAGTGAATTTTATAAATGTAAAGTCTCTGAAGATGTTCTTTTGTGTGCTCTGTAGTTTGTTATATGGATGATTTGGATATGTTTGTGACTTACTGTAACTTCTTCTCATGTCCTTTCTTGGCGTATGGACACAAAGCTAGTTACAGTTTTGTTCTTGTTCATTTGTCTTTTTAAAATTCAGTGTTATTGAATTTTGGACCATTTGTTCAATTCACTAGGATCACTTTTAGTCTAATTCTGTCCTTTCAAGCACTACCAACCTTAACAGTTTGGTGTCACAGATTTTTCTATGCTGTGCTGTCACCCACACAGCAGATGGGAGTACTGAACTGAGCCAGGTCTGTGTGAGACCTTCAGGGGTTCTGCTTGAGAGCTGCTGGCTTACTGGAGAGTTGCTCAGATTTTGTGTGGGATTGTTTTCTGTTAAAGATTGATGAACTGACAGTGTGTAACTTCACTGAGACCATGGATTTTTTTTGGATTTACTGTACAAACAGTAAAAGTTGCACTGAAGAGTAACTGCTGAGGTGTTCTGCTTTCACCTTTTTGTAAATGCATTAGCAAGTTATAGGTTACAGGGTACACTGTTCAGTAGCAATGCAGCTCTCTTGTACTTTGAGTCTGAATAACTATGAAATTAACATTATGGAAAATGCAGCATTGTATTAAGTATAAAATTTATACTTGCCAGTTTTCCAACTTCCAAATGTTTAAAAATAGTCCCTGTGGAAAGCTATATTGCAATACACAAATATAACTGAGTAAAGACTCCCTACTAATGAAAAGATGTTCTCTTTAACAGGCAGCCCCTTTGGCTTGAAAAATACATCAAATCTTCGGCCCTTAAATCTTCTACAGGTAACTGATATTCTTGGACACAATAAGAATGATAATTTCTTATCTTTCTATAGAGACCTTTTTACTGCACTCCCCTGCACAGTTCTTTGGAGCCAGTTGGTCAGACCATTTACTGCAAATTTTAATGGATTATTTAAAATGCTTAGAATAAGAGAAAAACCTGCTTCCACAGAGATAACAGGTGGAAATTATATTTCTAGCTTAGAATAAAGCAGTTAATTTTCAGTAACAATCCAAAATAAACCTCCCCTGGCAGAGCTTGAGCCCATGTCCCCTTGTCCTGTTGTCGGTTGCCTGGGAGAAGAGACCAACCCCCACCTGGCTATAACCTCCCTTCAGGTAGTTGAAGAGAGTGATGAGGTCACCTCTAAGCCTTCTCTTCTCCAGACTAAACAACCCCAGCTCCCTCAGCCTCTCCTCATAGGACTTGTGCTCAAGGGGTTACTCAGGGGTTACACACAGAATGCCTAAAAGCTGAGCTCAGCATGCCCAAGTAGGTACAGTAATAGGTTTAAAGAGCTTCTGGTAAGGGAAATAGAAGCTTGTGTAAGATAAGAGAGTTTAGAAGGTCTGTAAATGCTTTCCTTCCACTAAGTATACATACAAATATAAACATGAGCAGAATATTGCTTATTATGTCAGAGTTGCATTTAAAAGCAGAACAGGGACTGTTTGTGGAACTGGGTGGAGTTCCCGGATCTTGAAGTCAGCTGCCAGTTACAGGTGCAGAGCTGTAGCTACAGTGTTCCAGGTGTGTTGCACCACGCTTCAAGAAGTTATCAACAGTAAAAGAACAGCTGTAACTTTGCCACTTCCTCCTCCCACTCCTGTACACACTCCAGAAAAATAGAAAAGTGAGGCACAGGAGGCAATTATGCCAGAATAGAGGTCTTCTGTAGATCACAGTTTTCTCCACAGCAACAACCTCAGCAGCCCACAACCTGTAGTCCTCAGCAACAGGGAGAACAGATGTGTGCTAACAGCCCTCAGTCTGGGGTGCATGGATGAAACAGTTTCTCCTCCCCATCTTCACAAGTAAATGAGCCTGTGCCCAACAGATCTGTAGCAGAGGGGGAAGAAAGCCTTCTAAATCATCTCAAACAGCAAAGACTGCAGGGGCTCTGTTGCTATGGCTGGAACTGGGTTATACTTCTTTATTTGTATCCTGTGTAGAAGAGCTGTAACTAAACAACTGGCTGAGCATTGTCTAACTCTATCATGAAGAGAGCCAGCCAACTGTATGAGTGGTGTAAAATCAGCTTTATCATAACTAGCAGATACATCAGATAAACAGAGAAAAACATGACGTCACGATTACAGAGTTAACTAAAAATTCCTACTTACACTGCTGTGAGCTGGTTTACGATCCTCACTGCTGTAGTTCCACAGAATTTTCTTTGCACCAGTATCAACTGGCTTTAAGGCTGTAATCTTAAGACATTCACTCTACTGCTGCTTGTAAATGGTGTTAAAAGTTTTAAGCACTGAAAAAGTCTAAAGTCTTGATCGAGACCTGTTCTCAAAATGATAAATTTTGAGTGGTTAGTTCTACCTGCACTTATAAATCTTTACCAACCTGACGCAGCAGTTTGGGAAAACTAGCTGCTCTGCTTTTGTGTTCATCTTCCCAGACATGCAAGACTTCTGCTTACCATGTAGTCTCTACTGGATACTGAAGTTTGTCATAATAATTTCACTTGTGTTACTGTAGACCTTTCATAAACAAGATGCCTTTCCCAAATGTTTCACGATGTTTAGTGTCCTGTGTCACAGGCCTTGTTCTGGAATGTGGGACAGTTTAATGGGAAACTTTCAGATTTGTTCACAGCATCCAAATGTCTGAATGTCAGTTACTAGTTGAATTACTGTAAAAAAATTCATGCTAGCTCATCCTATTGGGTTTTATAGTCTAGGCATTGAACATCAAGGGCATTTACAAAAAGGCTGATGTAAGCTTAGTCCTTCTTGTGGCAGAAAGTTCTTGTGGAGGAAATCAATCTCTGTGTTGGCTAAATTGCCCTAAGGCACTTCTCTCTAACTGTGCATTATAGAGGAAGACTAGGGGGTCATTACCTAAAATAAGCTATTATAAACACCTGATCCCTTACCTTTCATAATGACACCGTGCTCACAGTGCTTAGTGGAAAGAAACTAAACCCCAAAAGACCAACAATTTTCTTGGCTACCAACAGAATGTATGCATTCTCATCTCATTCTTAGGGTTTTCCCCACAGGGTGGTTCTGACTCTGTAAGTCTTAGTCATCATTGAGGTGATGATGTCCTCTTGATGTGCAATCTTTTGGTCTGGTTTACTTAGATCTTAGTGGCATTATATCATAAGGTTATGCTAAAGAAGCATCACAGCTCCTGGAGTACACCAGCTCTTTATCTGACTGATAAGCCATGCAGTTTGCTTGGATTGTGAATATCATGCTTTATTTCCCTATGTTATAAATCAATGCATAATGTAAGTTCTCTAAGAGGTCATAATTCAGCACCCTTTGATTTCAGGAGATACTGTCAGACTCCACTTACTCGAGTGATGATTTGACAACTACTCTGTTCTGAAAATATAATTTTAAAAGCAGGGTTTGTATTTTTTTATGAAATTAGGTGTGTGTGGCACAATATGAACATGGGAAAGTAAAGTGTTGGGCTTTGCACACTTTGATTGATTAGGAACTTTGCAAATGGATGGTTTCAGGGTCACCTGAAGACTCAGGGCTGGGAGTGGGACAGGAAACAGTCGTAAGATTACAACCATAAAATGCAGTCTCTGCTAGACTGCAGGGAAGTTGACAACTACATGACACTTCTGTGGGGTAACAGGT